TGAAACTTCCGTTGTTACATGCTGGAGCTGCCAGCCGAATCCAGATTTAGGGGAACCCCGACATCCCTCAAGACAGTTATGAACGAAAAATAATGGGAAATGAAACCGTCGACAGTGTACGGACTCATGAATAATTACCAAGGAAAATCTCAGGCAAGAGAGCCAACTTCTTGCCGAGCTAACTTGCTCTGCGTCGTTTACTTAAATCATAAAATCCAGAACTCTAAAACGCCGTAAACGAGTAAAAAAAAAAACTCGAATATTCTCATTAATCTTTCGAAGGGCACAGTAAGCCATCAATCCGCCTGATGGGGGGGATCCCTGAAATAATCGTCTCGCTTTTTCCGGAATTCAGTGTGCCGTGAAAGTTACTAAAAATTTACTGTACTTAATGTTGCTGAACGTAAACTTTTTTATTGCTAGTGGGGTGGGACTAAGTCCCTTGTACTGAGGCCACTTCTGGCCTATTGTACCAGCCCCAGATGATAGGTGAGGGTGATTGTGGAGCAACTGGTGGAATGAAGATTGGCAGGGGAAACCGAAGTATTCGGAGAAAACCTGCCCCGGTGCCACTTTGCCCACCACAAATCACACTTGACCAGACCCGGGATCGAACTAGGGCCGCGGCGGTGGAAAGCCAGCGACTAACCGCTTGAGCTATGGCGCGGCCCAACGTAAACTTACACGGGCTCCTACAACATACCTTACACATGTCACAAGTAATTCCTTCCGTATATGACCTTAAATAGGTCAATCAATACACAAAAATATTGGTTACGAGGAGGAACAAACAAGTCAAGGCGGAGGCATATTTCGTTACACAAGCATTCCTAAGTTTGAGTTCCTGGAATATAAGTCGGGAAACACGGACTTCCATTCAATGATAATCTATTAAAATGTTCAGTATTTCTGGACAACATCAATTCCCAAACTGCGGTCAGAAAAGTTCCCACAAATTCCACACACAACTAATCTATAGTGACGGACTGCTATAACTGCTTCCATTACCAGGGAAATCAGCTGTGAGAAGAGCACAAATGCTCCCACAGACAACCCCAAACGCATTACTTTAATTCCTGCTGTGTATACATATGCTTGTCTGAAGTAAGTGGCGATCTATCAGTGCTTTTTGAGGCCTAAACGGTTTTGTGGATCATAAAAAGAGCACACGTAACTCTTATGTGTAGGCCTACAGACATCAGACAAATGCCTTGTTCCGAAGCGAGACAACAAAGGAGGATACACACGGACGACGCTTACCCTACGCTAACAAGTACAGACACATATCCTAGTCAATTACTTGTCTCCGTCATGTTCCTGCAAACTCAGCCGCCAACCCAATGGGAAGCGGGGCGTCTTGTCTGAAGGGACGGAGGAAACCCACGAAAAAACCTCAGTGAGGACAGACGACATACGAGCCGAACTCCTCCCGAGTACAAGTCTAGAGACTTACCGCTGCACCAGAATACGCAGTCCTTTGCTGTTGAAAGCTACAGGCTTATCGACTAGTTCACTCTCATCACGTGATCTGCATTCCTATGGGCAGAAGTTTGCAGTACAGTCTGTTGACCGTTCTACAATGCAGATATCTCAAAGCACCACTGCGATGTTTCCCTTATTTTTAGGTAAAAAATAAGAGGATAAGAAATTACTGAAACAAAATTTAAAGAAATGAGATGTGAGGGTGTAGGTCGGGTTCGCCTGCCTTACGGAACCTCAGGGTTCCATGTTAAGGCGGAGAATCTGTTAGCAGCGGAGCGACACATTCCTGACCTTCTAAATCGGAAAAGTTGCTTAAAATACGGAATGATGACAAAGCGGTCGAGATGGTATCAACGTAGAGGGATAATGTAACTCTTGTATGGACTGCAGACCCGGGGATTCGAACCAAGAGTACTCTAAAATATGACTTGTTAGTATTTCCTACTTAACATCTTTCCAGGTCACTTGGGAAGACCTCAGGTATTCAGAGCATGACACAGTGTGACGGCTGATACACGGATAAGCATTTAACTTGCTTCCACAGTAAATACCGTTGGGTAAGAATGTGACAATGCATAATTCCACTGTAAAATGGATTCTTACTAATACGCAGTATAAAACGCTGGGATAACAGTCAGGAGCCTGGCCATCCTCTTCGCCATGACACCCAGACCGTCTCTGGGGCTCATCCTGCTTCCATCCTAACTGGTACCCCACTCATGGAGATGGGCCCTTCTTGAGAAGGCGCCAATTGTGCAGCCACTCAAGAGCTTCCCAGCATTTTATGGAACCCGAAGGTTCATTACCGTGTTCACAAGAGCCCTCCATTAATCCTTATCCTGAGCCAGATTCATCCAGTCCAAATCAACCCATCCTATCTCTCTAAGATCCATTTTCATATTATCCACCTACCTACGTCTTGGTCTTCCTAGTGGTCTCTTTCCTTCTGGCTTTCCCACCAATATCCTATATGCATTTCTCTTCTCCCCCATTCGCGCTACATGACCTGTCCAATTCATCCTCCTTGACTTGATCATTCTAATTATACTTGGAGAAGAGTACAAGTTATGAAGCTCCTCATTGTGCAGTTTTCTCCAACCTCCTGTCACTTCATCTCTCTTATGTCCAAATATTCTCCTCAACACCCTCTTCTCAAACACCCTCAGTCTGTGTACCTCTCTTATGTCAGAGACCAAGTTATGTTCTAATTTTTTTATTTTTAGAATAGTTTGAAATGAACGGTCAGCTTCACGCCCCGCCCACTTTAATCCCCGGGGAAAGAGCCTCCGGTACCCACTGGATAGGGGGCTGGGTGGGCCCCAGAGCCGGTCTGGACGACATGGTAAGGAGAAAACTCTTGACCCTACCGGGACTCGAACTCCGACCCCTCAGTCGTCCAGCCCTTAACCAGTTGCTATACCGACTACACTACCCCAACTCCCATTCCAGCAGACTCTATTCGTTATAATTTTACTGCTAGTGTCAAGGAGCGTGAATCCAGGAACTCACATTATGGGAAGCCCTGGTTGTGCTTGTTTGAGAACGAGGCGCGCGCTTAGAAGATTATTTGGACCTAACAGGGAAGCTGCACGTGAAGAGCTTCACAGAAGAGACCAATACTGGAATGAAAAAATCAGAGGGGACGACAGGTTTTCAAGCAAGAAAACGCTATCGATTGTAAAACGCACCCTTGAATTTAAGAAGCAACAATCAGCAACAGAAACGAAATTTTTAACAACGGAAATGCACAAAATTCTTTCGGAATCTCCTTTGGTGCTATCCTTGCAGTTGTCATACAGTGTCATTATTCGGCATAAAGTCTTTGGCGCCATCAAATACAAGATGCACGCCAATTTCTGATATTTTGAAATGTTAGAAAGTGTCTTACAATCAAGGAAATACAGCAAATATATTATCTGACGTTTTCTGTGGTGAAAAGTTGGGTCGGTAACCACACGTTAACTGAAACAGCGTCACAATCCAGTAAGAAAACAAAATTAATAAGCAGTTTATCGGACCTGTCTTTTGAAGTTTATGGTTACACTTCATCTCTCTTATGTCCATTGATGTTGTTGTTGTTGTTATTGTTATTATTATTATTATTGTTATTATTATTACACAGATTCATAAGTGTGATACGGTGGAATCTAAATGTTGTCCAGGGAAAAAATCTTTCATTCTAGTCCCTTGGGGGGAACCTGTAAACCCTTTCCCCAACTACCATACACCTTAACTGTTTTACGTAATCATAACCCTTGTACTACGCGTTCCAGGATCCCAAAGTTCTACACTCTTTGGAAAATGGACAGATGAATGGATCTAAATACCCCGTAAATGCTTACACGTGGCTTCGAATCACAGAAACGCAAATCGTACAACAAACGTTCTTTCAAATCGTGATTAACTTCATACTCAAACCGAAATAATACCATTAGGATATGTCAGTTAGCATCACCTCATTCTGATCCCTCTGCAGACCATACAACGATATACGGCAACTGTTACGAAACCTGTAACTCCACCATAATACTGTATAACGTTAAGGCCAGAAATCGCATGCACTTGCTAATTACATTTACACAATGATTTAGTTAATGATTACTGCAATGAGATAAATATTATTAATCATAATTAATAATTACGTCAAACCTTAACCTGAATTATGAAAGTTGAACCGGTCAGAAAAACCCCAGAACGACGCACTTCATTTTGTGCAAAATATGAAATGAATAAATTTGCATGGGTCAGTAAATGAACATAAGCTTCAGGATATACTGAGTTTAATACCAGAAAGTAGGCACACGTACTGCAGTTTTCATAAATACATCACAAAAAGCACGCTTTTATCGATGTAGTGGCATCTGATATTGCATTACATTGTTACCGAACAGACACACGTCTCACAGACTGATAACCACAGAATACAATGAACTGTCAAAGTTCCTTTATTTAAGGACCTACTCCATTTGCAATCGGGAATATTCAAATCGTTGTTAGCAAGCTGTGTAGTTCTTGCGCATGTTACTACGCACTTCCATCTACTCTTAACTGCATTCTTTTATTAGCACACTGCTGTGGAATTTGGCTTTGCTTTGTTTACGCAAGTTTCAAGGTTACTATTTAATCACTATCCTGCTGGGATCTCACAGGTCTCATTTCATTAACGCTTGAACAGATTTCGTTCATGCCGGATTTCACGAACGCACGGTTCATGAACCTTTAAGACGAAGCAATTCCAAACCTGTCAGCAAAACTTTTTCCTCTACAGGTAAGAATCACATGGAACTACCTGTCGTTAGAGCTTGTTTGGCGGCCATTTTACCTGCGCGCCGAAGTTTCGTCCGTGATATCTAGTTTCATAAACTTTCGAAAGAAATGTGAAGTTTCTTTAAATGAGAATCATCGAGTTCTAATACTAATGTTGGCTATATTATTGAATTTTAAAAGTAACTAGCACAAAATTAAACAATCCTATCGTCCGCATCTGAAGTACGGCACATAATTCTACCTGCACATACCTTAGCCTGCTGTTGCCTGCCGCACAGGTAACATTAAGTACAACCGCCTCAAGGTATAAAACCACTGCGCAGCACTTGAGAAGAAACTTTCCGAGTTACACACAAGAAAACTTCATTGCACACTAACGCAATTCACCAATATCCAACAATCAGGTATTCACAATTGTTGTCGCATATACACCAGTATCCAGTGACAGATCCATCATTGATGACGTAAAATCATAAGAATGTTTTAAATATTCCTCTGAAACACTGACTACACAACGACCACTCACAACTCCAAACAACCACTGGCTCGCTCAACCTTGCGTTCGCATTTGGTTTGCGCATGCGCATAGTTCAGATCTCGTGGACAAAGAGTTGCTCAGTGTAGATGAAAGTGTAGTATCTTCCTTTTCAAGATCCATGAATACTGACGGGAAATATCTCACTACATTAACCATTAGCCTTGATAATTATTTGAGAGTATGGAAGATAAACAGAAAGTGTAAATAACTAACGACGATTTCAGTTGTTCAATAAGAATTATAATGGCTATATTGTAATAAAAATTTTCATAAAATTCACTTTTAGATTTAAAAGTGACAACTAAGAGAGAAATATGTTCCTTTGAAAGGAAGAGAAATGTTATAGGTTTCCTACCCTGGAGATCAGCTGTTGAGAATATAAGACTGTTGATTGAAGTGGAGGAAAATAATAACAATGTAGTAACTTGCAGGCTGAAAATTGTATTACATAATGAAAGACAGTGGATTATCAGACCGTAATTATAATGTCTAGAGAGCACGAACCCGAAGATGACATAGACATATACGGGGATATACCGAACTTTCCAAGTTTCGCAGATACCGTAAAAGAGGTTAGTATTGTACTTAACGCTCAAGCACCAAGCCGTTAAGACGTATGAAGGATTTCTCGGAATTAATTTTTTTTACATTACGGAACAGAATTTTGGCTGTCCACATTCCACTGTGTTTTTTTAATAACTAGTAAACCAAATGGGTTATTGTGGGATTTGAGATTCACACGGCGGTGGCCGTATAGATTATTGTCTTCTGAGATGTGACGCATTTATGGCCTACTAGTGAAACCAGAAGAAAGGCTTTTGAATTGACAGGTGGTAGTTTTGAGTAATGATGAACAGAACAGAAAAGTGATAACGGCGCTCTTGCCTTCTCACAGTTATGACTGCATTGCCCTTATTAAACATTATATAAAAGTACCACGGCTTGCACCCAAGGTTTAGTCATGAGAGTGATCATCTGGTGTAAGATCTATTGAAAGTATGACTATGTATGAAACTACTGAATTTGTTCTTGAAATATATATCCTTGTACATACGCGTGAGATTACAGAAGCCTGGGAAGTGAAAACGCACAATAAATTAGATCAGCCCATAACAAGGCCACTACCTACACAGGACAACACAAACACAGAATAAGCGCAGCAAACATCCATGCCTCAAGTAGGATTTGAACCCAGAGCCCCAGTGTTTGAGCAGGTGAAGGTGGTGTAGTATATTTAGTCTAGGCATACACTATTAGAATTAAGTTTACTGAACACTAATTGTGGGTAAGTGTACTCTTCTTAACGATATTTATTTCAAAATATTTATAGATGTGATTGGAGTAGAATATAAAGGATTCTCTTTTAGTACGGTCATTTTGTCAGAGCTGACAACTCAAACATTTTTTAACAAAATTAGAGTAGTTACAGATCTCAACTGACTTCTGAGACAGGCGCCCATGGGCTACAGCTGCTCACATACTTAATGTTTGAGTTAAGTGGTGACTTTGAAACTAATGCCTAAATAAGCTTATGATAAAAAAGAACAGTTTTACAAGGATAAAAAAATCAGATATTTCCACCACAGTATGCACGGATAAATTTAAATGTATAATTCAAATAAGAGGTTCAAAGCATTCTCAAGTAGTATTGAGGTGCTGTATAGTGGATTGGGTTCTTCTCTGAAATCTAGAACAATAATAATACATGCTACAGATATATTGCCATATATTTTGTTCTATGCTTTAATTTCAGCTTCAAGAAAGAAGGAAAGTACTTGAAGATGAAGTGGCACAATTGAAGGAGAAGTTGAAGGGAGTTACAGCTGAGAAAAATGAACTGGATTCCAAGAACAGATCCCTTGGTTTAAATATATCATGTCTCTATAAAACTGCAACTGCAGAGATTGGGCGGAAAGATAGACTGATAGCTGAACTTAGAAGAGAGTAAGAATTTCATATATGACACTAATTCTTGACTTTGTTATCTTTTCACTACATTTAAACCTAAACGGCACCTTATTCTGATTGATGGCAATAGTTGCTGGAACCCTGTAATCCATTGTATCAGGTAATTTTCTTAAAATGTGTCTTGCCTCAGCTCAGTAGCTGGAGTCAGTGCGTAATGTGTGTGCAGTTGTGGTGCAATGAACTACACAGTACTCCTCCATTTAAGATTTAGAAAGAGTTTCAGCTTTATTTTGTACACCGAAGCTTTTTTGGTGCCACAGAAAGCTTGATATTTTGTGTGTTCACAGCCTTAGAAATGATTAGCAAATTCCATCAAGTGGAACAGATTTAATTTGAGAATATAAAAGATTGCCCTTACATATTTCAACCACCACTGGCCTTCATAAGAAGGCAAAGCCAGCACTACAAAGAAATTCTTTACATATGTGATCAACACAGGCTGTCATAAAGGAATTTCTACCATTAGAAATTGAGGCTAGACTAAAATATTAATGTAATTAAAATAAATTACATTTGTTAGAAGTAATTAGTATCAGTTGAAATTAAGGAAGTATTGTTTTATGAGTATATGAACATAACAATAGCCCAATTCTTCTGCCGCTGGTTACGTAGAATAGCTGGCCATATGTCTGTCAGTGTGATATTGTTGTACGCATTCAGTGAAGTACATTCTGCACACTATATATACTAAATGTGCAACTACTGTTTTATTAAACCAGGGCAGTTTGTCTTTCCTTAATGGTCAACTACCCTGGCAGTATGATGTTGAATGACATATGTTCCATTATTATCTGCATGGGCTGTATCCATCTTAGCTTTAAGGTAAATAGTAAAGCTAACCCCGTGTATAATTAGGAAACATACCATGAAGATTTATGTGGAAGTGTGGGTATACCGGCATACATAACCTCAGCACTAGATAGATGTGTGGTCAGCTTAACCACCTTGCCCCTCTAGTCCCAGGGGAAGAGCCCCTGGTACCCACTGGATAGAAGGCTAGGTGGACCTCCAGACCAGTCCAGACATTGGAGAAAACTTCCTTGCCCTGCAAGGAATAAAATCCTGATTCCTCTGTCATTCAGTCTGTGGCCTCGTCACTGTGCTGACTGAGCTGCATTTGATAACTGGCACCAGGTAATGAAATTAATGTTTATAAATAATAAATTACTAAATCACATAAGAGTGAAACCTCATCTAATAATGTCACTGGGGAATAATGTACTCTTACTTAAGGTAAAGCTAAAGCTATCCCTGTAGCAGGCCATGAAGGCCCATAAGGTTGTGAGACGTTGAGGCTCCCACGTTTTCTCTACAGTCAGCTCACAGATGGCGATAAGATTTGTTAGCCTTATGTGCTGACCATCTTTTATTCCCCAGAAAGATTCCTGATGCTCATTTCTGTTAGAGGCTGAGAGACCCCAGGACCATAGTGTGGCTGGAAGGATTAGATAAATTGAAAATATAATCCACTTCATTGGGACTCAAATCCATGACCTTCTGGCTTGTAGCATAGTGTCTCAAATGCTACCACATGCCCTCAATGTACTGTTACATACCAAGAGAATGTGGTTGACATTTCATCAGAATACACGTTTTAAAACCAGAATTTGATGTTTACACTTAAAATTTTTCTTGTGTAGTTCTATGCAATAGTTATAGCAAGTTACTTTGAAGTTATGCTGTGATTCCATTTTGAAGCATACAGCCAACTAGCACAAAGATTACTTCCACAAAACTTACCTTAGCCACATTAGGCAACATCTGTCTTGCACGCACACACTCTGTGTGTGTGTGTGTGTGTGTGGGGGCGCGTGCAAATGTGTTACCTTCCCCGCTTTCTTTCTTTGTATTTATGTGCTGGCTTCCCTAGACCACTTGACTCCTATCAGGGTCATGTTACAGTAATAACTGAGGCAACCAGAAACTGCACACTTGAAGCCAGCCCACTGCTCGAAATCAACAACACAACTTCCACTGTCCACAAACTGTTTATTTATTCAGAAGTGAAATATTATAACTTCATTTGCAAGCATGGAGTAATATGGCTCTTTATTATTATAAAATTTTAATGATTCAGAGTGAAGGACTGATGAATTTAGAGAAATATAAGGAGTGCAGTCTAATGACGTCTGCCTCCAATCAATTCAAAATGCCAAGTTTTTGAAGACTGCTATCCTGCGGGAGCATCGCTTCGTCCCCCAAGAAGGATTTGAATCAATGGCTCTCGAAAAAGAATTCATTTCCTATTGGCTGATTTTAACTAGCCAAATTCATCATGCAGTCGGCACAAGCCAATCACATAAGAAACTTAGAGAATAAAACAGTTCCCAAGATACAGAACTCAGAACCCCACATGTGAGAGCAGTTATTTTCTTTAGTTTAGGGTCCAGCTACACCCTTCCAAAGACACGTTATGACAGCTACACATGTTAACTACAGACTTGCCCTCCCATGGTGACCTTGTCCCCTTCCGGCCATCCCAACTGCATGTAAACAAAACAAAACAAGGCAGTTGTCTTCTGTCCAGATGCAAAAAACAAGTCATAATGTGCAAATAAATTGGTCTTGCCAATAAACCAGTCATCCTTCTGAAAGATTAAAGAGGACCACAGCGTCCACGGAGAACTGTAGCAGGTTTGGACTGTCACATGCTCGCACATAAAGTTTCTGTTCTTCCTATTTTCTGGCCAAAATGTTTTTAGCATTTCTCATATATCTCTCTCTCTCACCACATTGCTACCCATCCCATCCCTTCATTTTATCATGATGATCCTCATCATACAGCTTTATGCAGTCTCTAGTTGTGTCTTGTCTTGTGCCTTAGTGGGGGGTGGAGTCCAACTGGGTCCACTCGGCAAGGCAGCCACTGATTGGCCTATTGTACCTGCCTGGGTGATTACTCATATGATGATGGAGAATTTGGTGGGATGAAGATTGGCAGGGGAAACCAAAGTACTCAGAGAAAACATGCTCCAGCGCCACTTTGTCCACCACAAATCCCACTTGACCAGACCCGGGATCGAACCTGGGCCACCACAGTGGGAAGCCAGCGACTGACTGCTTGAGCAATGGCGTGGCCTATCAGTCTCTAGTTACTTCCTCCTCTCAACATTCTGTGCTTAAAAACTCTGCGTTCTCCCATTAATCCTTGTGTTTTGAAATCCAAGCTAAGTGGGCTCGTCCTCATTTTGCGGATGGAGGAAATGAACTACAGATATGCAGAGCAGCTGCAGATATATTGACTAAGCAGTTGTGGACAGGCAACAATTGGTGGTCCTCAGCTTGGGAGTTGTGCATGGGGCTGAAACTTCTCTTCACAAAAAATAAGTTTGTTACAAAGGTCCTTGGACTTGGATGGAGTCTTTGGAGAAATGAGCTTTACCAAGGAAAATGGATATGACATTTGGTTCATGGAATGTACCAGGTCTATATGTGGCAGGTTTACTCATGACAGTTGCAAAAGAAATATCAATCCTGTAGTCCAGCGACAGTCAAATGCTGACTTTTACTGACCTACACAGCAACCACTGTGGGAACCTCAAATCCATCTTGCTCCTAATTCATTTTTTAATATAATTTTGATCTGTTACTATAATTTCCAAATGTTCAAACTTTGCCACTTATTCAGAGGATTTATTGAGGCTGAGAATGATGTAGCATTAGCTTCCCCAGAAAAGCATATCATGTATCATAGGAGGTACAACTGATACAGACATTGTGTAAATTGGTTCTACACTAACTTCTGTTCTTCTTTTTCAGAAAAGATAACATTATTTTTCGAAGAGTGAAGAATGTTACCACCACAGAAAGTGACCATAAATCAGAAAAACCTGGCAATCATCAGTACCATCAAGATACAAGTGAACAGACTGATCATCCTGCTGCAGAAATTGAGCAGAAGGAATCAGGTTATGCAGATGCCGACAACAGGATTTCACAGGAGTTAACATCCTACAAGGATCTTCCACCAGAAAGTACTTGCACAGTGTTCAGCAGAAGGCGACTGAACATCATTCCTGAGAACAAGTTAACCAGTTTAGAAAAGTCAAGAGAATATGCTAATCGGGAACCAGCAACTTCGTGCAGTTTAATTCCTGTCTCAGTTACTGAACCACATAAAGACATAAGTGAAAAAGTGCACCACAATTCTGCTTATTTAAGTAAAGATATTGACTCTGTTTCGCAAAATGAGGTAACTAGAAGCGTGAGCAACTCGGAAAATGGTAGTAAATTACCCAATACAAGAGATACACTTCATTCTGAAATCAAATCTGAGAGCGTGCATGTGAAAACAAAGAAACGCAATATTGATAGTTCCAAACATACCTCACATACACATACTGTGTCACCAGTTCCTGTATCTAGACACTTTCCGCAAAGGGATGAAGACAAATCATATTCAAAATATAAAGCAAAAATGTACTTGCAATCTGAGAACTACAGATCAAGAACACATTGCATAAAAGTTTCTTCATATCCCCACTTACATTCAGAACGATGGGAGTCATATAAGATACCAAGAAAAATATATGATACCAGTGTATCTTGTGCTCCTAGAAGCTTGGGATCAAGATCTAGATCTGTTTCCCAGTCCAGGATTGTACCACGATCTGTACAGACCATTGCAAGGGGAAGGTACAATGGCACAGAAACATCAGACAAGCACACAGATCGTGCATTAAAACTGGCTGACAGTGATCCATCTTTATACTACCTGAAAACACAATTACCAGAAGACACACAATTCGAAACTTCAAGGAATATCAGTTTTAAACCTCAAAATAAATCCATGCAGGACAGTGAACTAAATTCTATAACAGAAGCTTCAAATGCTGAATTAGAGTGTTCTTTAAAAATTCCAAAGACTGGCCCTGGAGCAAAGATGCAAATGTCACCTTGTGCAACTGGATTTACCGCTGTGTCAAACCTGTCTGAACACAATAGTTTCAAACGTTCAAGAAGAGCTAAAATTGTAAAACTGTCAAAATCTGAAACCAAGCCTATGGAAGTAACAGACTCTGATTTGGTTATAAACACAAACAGCAAATTATCCAGTGAACATAATCAAAGTGGAGGGACAAAGGGACCTCTTGAAAGTAAAGAGACAGAAGAATCTCACCCCCCAGGCTCTACGAGACAAGTACTGGAAGATATAACAGGGAAAGAAAAGAGTACAGAACATAAACAAAAGTACAGTGGTACAACAAAAGAACAACCCAGTTCAGGGTCAGTACATGAAAACATACTGAAAAAGAACACAGTTCCCAAAGATGAAAACAATGGCATTCAGAATGTGAATTCTGCTGTGCTCAAAGAAAAAAACAGAGCCGAAGAACCAAAAGAAGAAATAGGATCCGAAAATATTAAACTGGATAACAAAGAAAGTACTGATAAGCAACCTACCACGGAAAATAAAGTTAAGGAAACAAGTGGCAACCTAAGAATCAAATCTGATTGTCCAAATGTGAATGAAAGAAACAAAAATGTTAACATAAAAGACGCTGATCAGCAGTATGGTGGACATATTAAATTCATACCTGACAGGCCATTCGATACAAAGAGAAAGAGTTTGGGCTCATTTAGGCCACAATATATCTCGCAGAGATACAATGACCCGTCTTCCACGCAAATCACATTTAATAGTCACTGTAAACGACGAAGCCCTTCAGAACTTCTGAAAAAAGACAGAACAGGAAGGACAGTAAGTAATCACAATGAGAAGGCCAGAACTACACGATCAAGGAGCAGGAGTTTTGAAGATGGAACAGGCATATATAGAGAAACAAAAAGATATAAAATGACAGACAGTGCTGATGGAACAGGTGTAAGATATGAAGACAGTTCTGGATCAGGAAATAAAAGCATAATCTCAAGGGATGAAAATAAGAAGTCACACAGTTCTCAGAACTACAAGGCAGAGAAAGGAAAGCATGATGTGGAAACTGATAGCCTGAAACAGAACAAGACAAGTTTCCAAGGAGAAGATTCCAGTAGAAACATTCAGAACATATGCTTGTTAAACACTAACACAAGTAACAGTGTTATAAACTCGAGACTACATGATGACTGTAGTGGTCAAATGAAACCGGTGAGAAGAATGAACAGTTCTATAGTGACTACCACAAACGATAAAGAGGGAAAGGAAAAGAATTCAGCTGAAGTAGAACAGACAGAACAGATAACTACAAAAGAAAGTGGAAAAGACGAAGGACACAATAAAATCTTTCAGAAGGAAAACTTGTTAGAATGTAGCGCAGAAGACAATTCAATGGATGGTTACTCTTCACTGGAAGATATGGAAGATATCCCACCAGACAGAGTAACTAAAACACAAAAATCTGTCTGTATGGAATGGCAGCAGCATGGATCATCCAAACCGCCTGTTACTGAACCATCAGCCTGTGGTGAAATAATTAAAACTTGTGCCCCAGAAAATAGTTTGTATTCTCTTTCTACAAGTTCATCAGCTGGGAATGTAGAATTAAGAGACAGAAACTGTGAGGCAGGTGCAGATGTATCAGCTGACAGTCATGATGAAATGTGCATAAAGAAAATAAATAATGGACTCTCCAAGAATGGAAGGAAGAAATCAAGCAATTCTCATAATGCTGAAGTGTCTGGGAAAAACAATGTAATAAATGTTGCTAAAAACCAAGGAAAGAAAATCAGTAACAGAAAAAAAGCTAAATCAGGCAGACATGTAAACAGGAGCTTGCCTGATACTAATAAAGAAGACAGTATTGTGAAATCAAAAATAAACAGTTGTTTCAGAAATCCGATAGGATCTACAGCAAAAGGAATGGAGGATGTCATTAAAATTGCAGTAAAGGAAGTGAAGTAAAGATCTGAATGTAAAGACTCAGAAGACAGATCAGTCAAACAACTCCCTGTGGAACAAGCACTACCCGATAACACAGCCAACAGTGAAAATAAAATAAATGGGGGAACAGAATTCAGAAATAGCACTGCAGAACAGTGTAAAAATTCAACAAGTACTGAAGAAAAAACAAAGAAAACAGAACACAACATGGATAAACATGGAACAGAATTCAGAAATAACACTGCAGAACAGAGTAAAAATTCAACAAGTACTGAAGAAAAAACAAAGAAAACAGAACACAACATGGATAAACATGGAACAGAATTCAGAAATAACACTGCAGAACAGAGTAAAAATTCAACAAGTACTGAAGAAAAAACAAAGAAAACAGAACACAACAAGGATAAAAAGAAGTCAAACAGTTCTCAGAATTATAAAAAGAATAACATTAAAACAGGTGAACATTATGAAACTGAAGTGGGTAAATCACAAGAAAGTAAGGCAAATGTGAAACTGGGAAGTTGCACTAAAAATATTCAACAGATGTATTTACTGAAGAAACACGAAGAAGTGAAAGATTCTGTGTCCAGGATAATGAATGAAAATGTATCCGGTGTAATAAGTGGAAAACATAATGCTGGCATTAAAGAACCAGAGCATGGATCATCCTCACAACGAATTACTGAAAAAGCAATCTCTGATAAAGGAAATAAAACTAGAACGGCAAAGAGGATGGTTACACACTCAAGAAGCAGACCCATCGAGGAAGAGGAGAGGGTGCTTCAGGATTCCACAACGTATGAAACATCAGACATTTCAGAAAGAGAAACAAATAAGTATTGTGAAAAGACTGAGAAGATGCCAAACTTGCAGAAATATGAGGACAGGGGACAGAATAGAGTATATGGAACTGAAATGGCAGATGTTGTAATGGACAATATGGAAGGAAGGAAAACGGAGACAAAAGAAAAATCTAGTTACAAAGAATCAAATCATGAATTGTTTAAAGAGTCTGTTATTGATTCCTCGGTATCTGATGAAGTAAAGAAAACTAGAAATGAAAGGGGCCACAGAACTAAATCAAGAAACAAGCGTATTAAAGGGCAAGAAATAATGCCTACAGTTCCTCAGAAGAATGAAGTGTCTGATACTCTCGATCACAGAGGTACAAAACGTAAAGTTTCTGATAATGAAGATAAAAAGAATGTATCAGACAGCTGTCAGAATAATGAGGAAAACAAAAAGTCTGGATTTCAGCTTTCACAAACAGATGGGAATATTGCAAAGGGAAGTGAAATGAGAAGGGTATATGGAAATTATTCTGAAGCTGTGCCACAAGGGAGTGTGTCTGATAAAAATACAGAAGATGGAGTTGTGAAGTCGAAACTGTTTCATGAAAGCATAAGTGATATAAAACCTGCAGTAGATGAAGTGAAGGATACTATACCAAGTGCTGTAAATAAAAAATCTTACTGCTCAGAATTCAAACAAGGATCATTTGACAATCATGCTACCAAATTATCATTAGCCTCTAATGAAAATAAGAAAAATAGAACCAGAAGATTGAGGAGCAAAAGTTGTCAGGATGGGAGTCAACTAATTACGAAGCCACAAAAACGTAAAATGACGGACAGTATTGACGAAACAAGTGTAATATGTAAAACAGATGGTGTGGAATCAGAGGAAAGGAAGAAAAGTAAGAGTTCAAAGGATAAAAACAAGCAGCTGAGCATTTCTCAGAAGGATAAGGAAATTGTGGGAAAGAAAGATTTTGAAGTGGAAGCTGCACAAATAGAAGCAGATATTATATACAGTACAACAACCAGAAAAGAGGAAGAGATCACTAAAATTGTCCAGAAAATTGGCTTGCTGGAAACTAATAATGTACATGGCATTACACAGCCTGAAATACGGAACTGCAGCAAAGGTAAAATTGAATCTGTGAAAGGAAGGACAGATGTCAAACTAAATGAAGCCGTGTGCAAAGAGAAGGAAAATGGAAAATACAAAGATCCTATTACTGAAATGTCAATGTTGCACAGAGTTATTCAAAAGGGTGTTGTAGAAATCATTCCTAAGTCTGTTTCTAGAGATAATTCTGTTGAATTATCTGCTGAGTCCAGTATGGTGTCCACAGTTATTAACCTAAAATTTCGTGCTAGAAGATCTATGCAACATAAACTTGAAGATAGTAAAGCTGTATTATCAGTGAACATTACTCCACCTAAAGATTAAATAACAGATTTAATTGCAGAACATCTAGGTGCAAGTGCATTAAGGATTAATAGTGTTTCTAAAACCCAAAAGTTAGTTCAAGACCGGACAGCAGAAAGAATGTAAAAGTATTATATAGTGATTGTAAGAACACAAAGTGTAAAGGCAGAAATTCCAAGTGATAATGAAAATGATATATTTTGTAGTGTGTGTGTGTGTGATAATGCAACAGCAGGTCACGAATCATAGAAGAAGAATAGGACTAAACACTTACATGAATCTTCTCAGGTGGAGATTACACGTGGAGATGAAAGCAAGACATTTAGAATACAGAAATAAATATGTAAATGTACATGCTAATAATTCTCAAGAATGTGATGACTCTAGCAAAGTGTGGGACTTTGAAAAAATAGAAGCAGCAGCAGCTCATAAGATTCTGATCAGAATTCAGATCAGTAATGGTGTCCAAAGAGGGGATAAACTAAAAAGTGAAATAAAATTAAATCACAACATAACAAACATAATATAAGTCACACTAAACAAGAAATTAATAAATCTGGTGACTTATAACAAAAAATGTATATAGTGAAACCTCCATTCAGGGACCAAAATTTTTGTATTTACAATGTTTTTGTATCCTCTGTTATAACAAAGGATTTTTCTTCACTTTCTTTATGCTTGTTATTTAGCAATGCTCTCAATATCAAGGCTATACAATGTAGGTCATAGGATGATTAAAATGAATGTGCAGCAGTTCGTGGAATGAGAATTAACAAGGGAAATCGATAGTACGTGCCACTCTGTCCACTGCAAATATGACATGACCTGAGTTGGAACAGAACTCGGGCCGCCACAGTATAAAGCCAGGGGCTTCTCTTGTGAAGATATGTATTATATATTCAGTGTTTCATTACATTCACTGCAAGATATTTGAATGCTAGTACAGTACTATAAACAAAGCAGCAAGCTCAGGTGTTTCTGATTGAAAGAGAAACATTTCTTATTGAATACAATGAAAGCCCTGCTTGAAAACAGGAAACAGCCTATATTGTTGGAATGTGTTTACTGAGTGATTGCATAGCACCGTTCGCAGCAGGGCCACGCCACAGCTCAAGCATTTAGTGGCCCAGGTTCGATCCTGGGTCTAGTCAAGTGGGATTTGTGGTGGACAAAGTGGCGCTGGGGCAGGTTTTCTCGGAGTACTTCGCTTTCCCCTGCCAATCTTCATTCCACCAACTGCTCCACAATCACCCTCACCTATCATCTGGGGATGGTACAAGTAGTACAAGGGCCTTAGTCCCACCCCACGGGGCATGGACTCCGTAGAAAGCTAGTTACATGGTAGGTATCAATGTTGCATGATGTTACAGCCCAGTGTGGAGGGGTGTTTACTGAGCACTGCATAGCAACGGGCTGGGTGGGGGTATGTGATGTCACTCATGCAAATACAGAGGTCACGTGACCCCTACTTCCTGATGCGCAATTCAAGTGTTCACAGAGCTGTTGCCTAGTAACATCCTGATACAATCCACAACTCTCCCATTGTGTGCATGCCCCAAGGCCTCTGTGGCTCAGCTGTTCCTACATAGAGCAAATATGCCACACTATCAATGACAGTTTATTTTTGAAGCTTGCAAAGAGGATTGTTTAGTACAGTCTTCGTGTTCGCAATGTGAATTTAAACACAAGATAAAAGCAGCTGCAAATTATTTTGAAAACTTCATTACTAATCTACTCTTGTTGAAAATGATTACACACTGATTAAATATCTGAAGTGCATTTATTAGTAACATCATATTATTTTCATGAACTGCTGATAATATTAAACAGAATAATATTTTCAGACTGATGTGGTTGCAGAAATGAGCATTTAAAACACATCGAAGAACGGAAAAGCAGCCTGATCAGGCTTCAGCAGGTCAACGAGATAACACACAGTACCTGCCAGACCTTCATACAAACTGTATGGGGAGTCAGGCTTTCTTGCTTCCTGTGAGAACTCAGGACTAAAAATAAAGTCTGCAAAAGCATGGGCGCGATGGAGGTATTTCTCATCGCCTGTTAGGCGATACAGCAGAAGAAACACATACCCACTCCCTGCGACTCCGTGACATATTCCTGGAAGAAAGAAACTCTCTGTACGATCTTATTCGAATGAAAAACATACTTATAATGATGGAATGGATTTTACACTATTTTATATTCATAATACACAAATATTCAAAATGCAAATTATTATTTTTGTATTAGCAGTTTAGAATCCTTGTGTTCCTTTGCCAGAATGTTAGTTTATTAGTTACTTAATTTGACATTTAACATAAAATTGAATTCACCTTACCAGGCCCTTTCTTTAGGAGTCCTTTTATCCATACAAGATCTCCACACTTAATACACGATCTTAAATATTTGTCTTCTTTCCAGTAAAGATATGCCTTAGCCATTAAGTACACCACGCCTGCCAAAATGTACACATACATGTAGACATTACTACATTTGTATTTCAATGATAACATGCATGCAGAATGCCTAAATGGACCACAGATCCCCACAGTTCAGTCTTACATAATTCTCATGCCAATATTACTTAGATCAAACAACCTACTTCATGCTGTAGGAGACAGGCCCCTTTCCCATAGACTTCACTCACCAAGATAAATTCCAATACAGAGCAAGTTTGATCACCTAAACCAATTAAAGGACTGGCATGTTCACACTAGTGAACTGTTCAGATTCTGCATTTCAACTAAAAGATTAAAATTTTTTATTAAAATGATTTAGTCAAAAGATTTGTGGGTACATTATGTATATGAACAATGACCAGAACATGCCAGGATCAGGGCAAGCAGTCACCCCTGAGAGAGGCAGAGCCATTAGTACATAAATCATGTTTCACAAGAATTCATATTTACTGCAAAGAAGTAAAATACTTGGACTAAATTTGTAATTTTTGGGGGTGCCTCTTTTTTTTTTTTTGTTGGAGAGAAGGGCAAGACCGTAAGTGAGTTGGAATTAACATGGATGCAGATTCAGGTTCACTATAATATTATGCCCCAGAGTCTGTCCTGCGCTATCAAATGGATACATTCATCATGTTCATGAACCATAAATTTCTGAAACACGTTCTAGTAACAGTTAATGAAATCGAAGTCAATTTAATCTCTGTCAGACATGTGTTACTGTATGATGACATTTCCCCTTCCTCATACAACAGTTACAGTTTATGACTGAGAGCAAGAGTGAATTTCTGTTTAAACATTTGATATTTCTACACTTCTGTGACAGCACACACCAACCTGGCAAAAATGATAAAAATATGACCAACTGCGAAAATCAGGACTCATTTCAGTAAGTTCTATGAGGCAAATATCAAATTTTACAATCCACAATGAACATTTCACTGTGGACAAAGTTATTGTTCATTTCAGAAGAAGTTACTTTCTAACAGTATACACCTAACACAATTATTTTGGCATAATGATGTACAAGCTGTGACTCTGTTGATTACATCTGTGATACTGTGACACGTAAAACCGTTGCTGGCCAATAACTCGGTAAACACATTCCCGCAGCCATGAATACACGGGCAACAATCGCATAACTTTCACTGCTACGCAATGCACTGTAAATACAACACAGGAAGAGGTGTTTCCTATGTGGTTCACATATATCCATTGCTGGGCAACAGATGTGTCTTCTGTGGGTCCGCCTCAAGACTGTGTAAGTGGTATAGAACCAAATAAAATCAGAATGAGAATGGGATGAGTCCTCAGCAGTCAAGGACAAAGGGCTCGGCTGATGATTGCTTGTGAGTTATTGTAAATGATAGTAGAAGAAGTTAAATCCAATCCAAAACCCATTATTATTAGTCACAGAGCCATAAACACATGACAAAAAGAAAGTAAAATCCAAATTACCAGGAGCTCCATGGCACCAATGTACCAGTTCATCAGTCTCTGGCCGTGCTCTGTTCCCAATCTCATCAGTTGCACATGGGAAATTGCCAGATCGACTCTGGAGACCCAAAAGATAATCAACACTTGCTTTCACATCCTGTTCAGCTCTTGAATCAGAGTGAAGGTACGCAGGAAAAGACAGGAGCATCTGCAGGATAGCACACAGACCATGGGCTGCACCTGAGGTGTAATATGAACATGCTGTTAATACATTTTTATCGTGTTATGCAAGGATCTGTGGATATGAAAATTTAGATTGTGGTATTCTGGGTTATAACACCATGTGGTCTCATGTGTGTTACAGAGGAACCTGCTGCCTCTTTTTCCAAATGTCTGAAGATGAAGACAACACATTCCTCTGGAATGTTGGTCACTATGAGATGACATGCTGTCATAAACAAGAAACACCATGATCTAAACACCTCTGTCATGTCATACTTTATGAGAACAAACAGGAAAGACAGAATGTCAGAATTATAGAAATCCAGTATTGATTCAATGTGCTACCAACTGAAAAGTAGAAGAAGGGACAGTAAAAAAGGAAACAGATAAACTGGGTATGGGGAATATTTGAGGTTAAGGAAGGAAAGTGATGAAAGGCATGGGAACTGCAAGTAAATTGGTGTCAATATGAAAAGGCAAAATATGGTAGTAAATGTGACAGAGATGACTTTGAAATGAAACTGGCAAAGAGTATATAGAAATATGTTGAAGGGATGAAAGGAAAACTAAAATGTAGTGGAAGGCAGGAGTTGGAGGCTGAAAGGGATTCAGATGGTTAAAGATTTGTACTTTAGTCAGGAAAGACAAAGCATTATCTTGAAATGAGATGAAATAAATATGTCAGGAACAAATTCCTGTTACAACATTTTGGAACTGGATCCAGGAATAGGAATATAAATGATTGTTTGATGCAGGAATGAAGAGAAGTGGAATAAGATTGGTTCATATGCTGGTAGGTACAAATAAAAATTGGAGAGATCACTAAAAGAAATGTGAGGCGCTCTACAGCAACAACATAAGCTGCAAAGCTAATCCAACTAATAATAAACACAGATTAGGAAAATGAAAGAAGGAAGGGTGACTGATAGCTACAATATAGATTAATAATCTCATGCTGTATATCATTATACCACAGTTTAAAGTAAATGTCTCGACTAGTATATTAATTTAAGGCTGTAAAGAGACTGGAAACAGGGGGGAAAAGCAGACGCTGTAAGTGGAGTTACAGATAAGGTAAACAGAATGTGACAAATGTAGGTGTGGGTATTACAGATGAGCCCAGGGGACTCTTATCATTTGTAATGTATAGAGAACAGGTTCAATAAAGTCATTCATTCACAGTTTGAGTTAACAGCAAAAAAACCGTCAATCATTACATTATAGGTTATTTTCTGTAAGTCATATGAGTATTTTTAGCAATTTTCTTTATTTTCCAAAGTGGACTCATAATACCATGTCCGCATATGTGCCCCAATGAACTTCAGTATAGGGAAATAATGAATTAAAATCGTTCATAACATGGCAATGGTGGCCTGATTTTAACTGGCAAATTTAAATTAATACTGATATTAGTATACAAACGCATGTACCTTTGAAATTATTTCTGCTAAAATATTCTGGAAAAAAATATTTGAAAGAAAGTAGCTTGCCAAATTTTGTGGTATTAAAATCTTCACTTCTTATTTTAAGAGCACATATAACACTGTACATGGGTCTGCAGCTGGTCAATGATTAATGTATTAAGTTTCAAGGCATGTAATCTATCTGGCTTCTAGGCTTCATTTAGGAGCCAGGATAGTGTAGTCACTACAGCAACTGGCGACAGGCTGGACAACCAAGGGACAACGAAGTTCGAGTCCCAGTAAGGTCAAGAATTTTCTCTTCTTCGCGTCGTCCAGAGCAGCTCTGGGGCCCACCCATCCTCCTATTCAATGGGTACCGGGGGGCTCTTTCCCTGGGGATAAAATGGCCATTCCATGAAGCTGACAACTAACCTCCATCTAGTGCCAAGGTCAAGAAAATGTGAATCTATACATCCACTCCCCCATACGTCTTCACAGCATAGAGGGACAACTTTACCTTTACCTAGGCTTGACCTTCTTGTTGGGGATGAATTCAATAATGGGACTCCCTAACACTCATTTCCGATACGTCTGAACTAGAGTGAAATGTTTGAAGCTGCATTTTGTTACAAAAGGATGACACAATGATGAAGCCATGTGATACAGTTAAGAGCCATCAGGTGATTCTTTGGTCCATTTCATGTTCTCTAAGTGAATAAGTATTACCCATTGCTGGTTTATAGACATTCATCCTGTTTTCCTTTCTAAACCACTGCTGTCAAGTTACCTTTCACTCTAGCAAGCATGTCACGTCATTCTCATTTTACTGTCCTACTGTCAAACCCCCATTTCCCTTTACAGTTCTGTTTGCGAATTCTGTGACAGCTGACAACTCGTGTGTTCAAGACTGAAACTGTCCATGCAAAGTTTGCAGGTTTTCTTCTAGCCACCAATGTCTCAACATTTGCGCCATTATTACAAAGAGAAATTATATTTTGTTGACAGTAATAGTAGATGTTACTCTTGCCTGCTAGCATAGCAAGACTGTGCAGGTCAGTGTTTGTGTTAAAAAATTTCTGATGGCAGTCTACAACCACTCACTCGCATGCCAGAACTGGCAGTGGCCTGGATATTTTGTAGTGAAAAATAAATCATCTAGAATAAAATGGGTAATTTTAAAATGCACCTCACAAAACTGATATCAGGAAAGTGGAAATGAATATNTCCCCGCCATTACCGCGGATAATCGAGAGTCTACTGTATTTCGCTTAAGTAAGTGAAAATCAATGAACAAAGATATTTTAAGTAGTTACTGTAGGATTCTGACGATGGTGTATAACACACTGATATATTGGGTTTTTGGACTTTATCCATCCTCCTGGTTTTTAAGATAACTAATAAAAACACGACGTTTCGGAAACTGGATCTGTTTCCTTCCTCAGGTGAAGGAAAACACCTATTCTGTTGGGTCTGTTAGAAAGAGCTAGCCTCCATCACTGGTTATCACTAGTTATCTTAAAAAACCAGGACGATGGATAAAGTCCAAAAACCCAATATATCAAAGATATTTTAATACTAATAGTAACTGATCAACTCTGTTGTAAACATAAATTGTCTTTTCAACACCAAGCCTTTTTCAAAACTGAATCAGAAACAACTTACTTACAGTAGAGAGGAAAAAAATGGCTGCAAACTAGATCCTTTTCCTAAATACAGCCCTGCATATAGTCTACAGAACACCCATCTGCATTCCGAAATGCTGTGTAGAAGTGAAACACTCACTAACCAAGATACTCCACATCATAATAAGAAAACATCAAAGGGCATGGACTTCTGTAGCGTTGAGCCTTGTTTCGTCCTGATTGCACAATACAGCTGCAGATTTCATTAACATCCTTTGCTGGGAACATTCCTTTTCCAAAAACTTTTTCCAGCCACAAGACACCACACAGATATCCTGCTCGACCAACAAATAACTCATCACCACCACAATGAAGAAAGTTGAGAGGTTTACAATTTGCAGCTGAATCAATATAGGCTTTGAAATAATGATCAGCATTGCCTTTATCACCTGGAATAAAAATAACTCAGGTGACATAACATAGTTTGTGTGTGTGTGTGTGTGTGTGTGTGTGAATCCTTTCATTACAATCAGGATCCATTAAGTTTTTCGAAACAGAAGTCTTAATTACTCTACTACCACAGTGGTGCTTCTACAACAACAGAGCCTCAAATGTGACACAGTAAAACATGGTCACAAGTCCCAAGGGACTCAGACCTGAGAAAGACTGCACTGGCAACGGCCAGCAGCATATACAGAAGATAGACCCGTCCTCTCGTCAGAGAGGGCGCCCCACAAAAACAAACCTGTAACTGCCAAACAGTAATAAATATTTGGTCATAAGCCCCTCATGGGGCTCAACACCAAGACTTACTGACTGACTGACTGACTGACTGACTGACCGCATCAGTCACAATATGACTTTCACTTTGACTAGGAGTGAGGACTTTTTTTTAATTGTGTTCATTTTCTACGCCTTATTCCGCCTGAGGTTACAGTATTCTCGCAGGGGTAAATATGCAATACATACATTTTTCTTTCACACTCATGACAAGTATAAACTGAAATGAAATTCTAATATGTAGAGGGACATCTGTCAGTGCAGGAATGTGTAGCTGTCTATGCATCAATTTATTTAACACTCCGAAACAGCAGTCATAGGCTTGACCGCTGCCAAGTTTAAGCCTCTTATATTTCCTACGTCGGGCGACAAAAAGGGAAATCTCAAATCTGAGAGAGTAAAATATGGTCACGAGTACCAAGAGACTCGAACCCGCGAAAGACTGGGTTAACTTGTGAACTGGAGACTCTGTGTGTGTTATAGTGCAGTGGGATTGGGAGCGTGTAATTTTGTGAGACTTTTACATTTCCTATGTTATAAATCCGTTGCCTGGTAGCGGATAGTGAAGACTAGTGGAAATTGACTGAGAAGATTAGTGTGAAACGATTTATATTGTATAAATTGTCAATGAATAATCCGTCGAGTGTAACAATGTTTTTAGGTCACTTATTTATTTCACTCGCCTTACATGTTTCGGTTCAAAAGAAACCATCATCAGAGGCACGTTACAAACACATGAAACCACTGGCGTTGTATAATGTACACAGTATGTATGCTGCGTGAACTGCTACAGATGTCGGAGTGTAAAAGCACAACACTTTCTAGTAACGTTGAATGCACGTACAACTCTTGCATTCCATCCGAAGAATGCCCTCAAATTGAGCCGTCAATGTTAAAATGTTTAAAAGCTTAAAACATTTGAAATAAAATGTTTGGCTCCTTCTTGTTGATTCGTCCCGGTGATGGGAATCGTCAGCTTGAGGTTGTGTATGCTTGGTCGGATGTATCTTACGCGTTGTGTGTTGTGTACTGCGTAAGATACATCCGACCAAGCATACACAACCTCAAGCTGACGATTCCCATCACCGGGACGAATCAACAAGAAGGAGCCAAACATTTTATTTCAAATGTTTTAAGCTTTTAAACATTTTAACATTGACGGCTCAATTTGAGGGCATTCTTCGGATGGAATGCAAGAGTTGTACGTGCATTCAACGTTACTAGAAAGTGTTGTGCTTTTACACTCCGACATCTGTAGCAGTTCACGCAGCTTACATACTGTGTACACTATACAACGCCAGTGGTTTCATGTGTTTGTAACGTGCCTCTGATGATGGTTTCTTTTGAACCGAAACATGTAAGGCGAGTGAAATAAATAAGTGACCTAAAAACATTGTTACACTCGACGGATTATTCATTGACAATTTGTGATTGATAGTGTAACGGACCAAATATGAAACAATTCAAATTATATTGTATAAATCATCAAGAGTGTAATAATCATTTGTAGTTGCGACCTGCAAGTCGTTAATAAATTCGATTACCAATCAAAACCTGCGTCTCAGTCACCCAAACACATGACAATATATTACTGTGTCTGGGATATCAGTGTGTGCTGACCCTAACCTAATGATAAAATAAAACACAATTTATTGTTAAACATTTTGAATTTTAAATGATTTCAAAGTATGAAGAATTCATAACTGTAGGCCTTCTGCAAATAAAAACTATTGACGATACCCATAAGTTCATAACAGCACCCAACTTGTATCAATCAGTTTGAGGTTCAGATTAGTACCCAGTCTTTAGAACTTATTTTATGCATGCTCAGTCACAATACTGTCTAATTATTATGACTTTAGCACAGGGTAGTCTTAATGCCTGGTATGGTCAGAATGATTTGGATAGTGTCTACTTCTCTCTCTCCTAGAATATGTTTGATTTTAATAAACCTTACAAATTTTTGGAACTATCTGGGTCATTACAGTTCTACAGATGTTCCTCCTTGCTTAGATGAAATTGTTGGTAATCAATACATACCTACAGCATGGTACAGAGCTGTTGCAACTGCATAAATGCCTGCATTTCCAAGTAAAAAGGCAGATTTTTTAGATTTGTCGGTATTATGACGTTGTGCATATGCCAGTGCTGGTTCAATATACTCTAAACCTTTTCTTAAAAGGTTAGATTTTTCTTCAACAAACGTTGGTGACAGGCTCATCTGATAAAACATGTAACCTATTCCTGCAATACCAACATATAACCCACCGTCCGCAGCTTTAACAGATGGTTTCTGTCTGTCTGTGATAACATTTACGGTGTCATGGATCTTCGATTTCCAATTTCGCTCAGTAAATCGATTACTATGTACTTCATAATCTGGCAAAGTGTTAACAAAATACCTTTTCGGCATACTCATTGAAGAAGACTTTTGAATTTTACGAACTTGTAAATTCTGCACTTTGCTTACAACTGCTGAGAACAATAAACTTACGTTCCTCAAATTTAACATGCACTTCTTAAAATCACATCTTAAGCATTATAGGACTTCACTTCACATAACGAATAATCGCTATCGTTACCGGCCATTAGGAACGCCTCCACTGTCCACATCGTCCACATACGCCTACCACCATGGTTCTCTATACGGTACGGTACTGTACATGCTACGGATACTATTGTATAGCATACACGGGTTCTGTACCGTGGATCGTCCTACGGATTTTCAAAATCCAATTGCTCCTTTATTTATTCAACTTGCTCGAACAGAATAGGCGATGGATCTGAGTGGACGTGGTTATTAGAATTTTATTGTAATTAATCTCCATACGGCTAGAAAATGAGTAGAAGAGCTCAGTAGATGTAGTGACAGGCTCCGAGGTTCAACTCCTGGCAGGGACAAGTGTTCTCTTCTCCACAACGTCCAGACCTTCTCTGGGGCCCAACTAATCTATCTAATTGGTACCGGGGGCTCCTTCCCCGGGGTAAAGCGGCCGGGACGTGGTGCTGACCACGCACTTCCGTCTAGTGGCGAGATCAAGAATGGTGGAGTTATAACTTCACTCCCCCATACGTCTTCATGGCGCGGTACTTAATTCATGCAGCACAGGAGCAAATTTTTACATTTTTTGACGGTTAGAATAGCGCAACATCATATTAATCACAAGACGTGATAACTAAGAGAAGAATATTGCATACACTATTTTCCCGGGGGACTATATTTATCTTGCATGTTCATAAATTGCTCCTGTTTCCGCAATTGGGGACTGCCGAAATGCAGGAACACAACTGCATGGACTATATGTATTGAACTGCGCGAGACGTCACTCTTCACGCGCTTTTGAAATAGACAAATGAGAAATTTTACAACTTGTATTATCGGTGTGAAACGTCTTTTCGTATTCTCGACGGTAACTCAGATTCAAAAATTTCTGGTGACTTATTCACAGATATTTAATATATCGGGAGAAAATTATTCCAATAGCGGGCTTTACAAAAGAGCGTACTGGAATAACAGAACATTAATTCGAGACCTACTAAGTTATTAATTCTGTTTGAATAATGAGCATTTCCACAACTGTGGAAACTTTCCAGTATTGTGCCTATTTAAAAAATAGGGAAATAAATCTTACTGTGGCAATTATCGAGGAATATAAACTACACATAACATTTTGTCCAGCATTCTTCTCCGAAGGTTAACTCCATACACAGGAAATTATCTTGGATCATCAGCATGGATTTCAACTACTATCAGATAAGAGAAGGCAACTGAATGAAAAATGGTAGGATCGATGGAAGGTTTGGAGGAGGCAGAAGAGGTGACAGCGGAAGAAGATGCGATAATGATGGCGGCAGGAAATAAGGAATAAGGAAATTGACGATAATCCATGAAGGAGGAGGAAACAAATTCAAGGACGAAACTATCGCTAAGAAGGCTGTACTGGTAACAGATAAAGTAAATCCCGAAAAATTGAAAATTGTTAAAATACCACTGACAGGAGACGTGAATATTTTCAGTTTCTCAGACCAGGCTCTTGAATCTCTGGTTGATAAAATATCCAGCCCCGTAGAAACAACAGAAATCATGGAAATCAAGAGATACGAAGCGGAGCAGACAATACAGGACAGCAAGAGAGAGCGAAGAAAAGATAAGAATGAAGATGAACATCAAAACATGAATACGCGCTATAAATAATTACAATTAATTTCAGATTTAATATAATTATAGCTAAATTTGTGTGTAAAATGAAGTTGCCCAAAATACTTTTGAAACCAAAACATATTAATACTAAAATAATTATTGTACAAGACCATAATCCAGCTGGATAGATTTGCAGCTTTCAACTGTAAGTATGCATTTTACATTATGATCTCTGTGGACTATTTCATCAAGTTCCCGAAGGTCTACGCCGTCCCCAACTAGGAAGCGCCGACGATGGCGGAAGTCCTGATGACAGACTTTTCCTGCCTCTTCGAAATACCGCGAGGACTCCGCAATGAGCAAGGCTGTAACTTCGAGTCTCGCCTTGTGCAAAAGGTGTTGCAACACCTGGGAGTGAGCAAGATGCGCACCGGCCCACGGCACCCGCAGGCGGAAGGCATTGTGGAGCGGTATGTGAATACGGTCCAGGAGCATCTGTGAAAAGTCGTCTTGTCACACCAGAGGGATTGGGACGGACCTGTGACCATATTCTTTTGTTTTACTGATTTGTCTGGTCTAGTAATTTGCTGCTCCGCTATTGCCCCCTCATGCAGGCTGGTCGTCACGTGTAGCACGCAAAGGTTTCTACATTTCCTTTGTTTCGAGGGGGCGTGCCTGTGACGTCTACGATCGCCCTCGCGAATGGCATCGCAATGCCATAGTGGGCGAGACGCTTTTTCTACCGGTTTCGACCGCGTACAACTTTCAGTCTTCGTGGATTAGGTCTCGTATTACTGTTCTCCGAATTCTTCCTCTTTAGGGCGGTTCCCTGGCAAGGTTTATAGTCCGTCCAGGTCTACTATCATGATCTTCGTTCTAGGGTGTCGCTGAATTCTATACACTGCATTGTTGATATGGGTGACAACCCTGTATGGGCCCTCCTACGACTTTTGAAGCATGGGTGACTTTCCTTTAGTGCGGGTTGAGCGATAGAGCCATAATTCGTCATCCTCCTGGAAACTCAATCTCTGCCCGAAAGCGCGGGTGGATGCGAAGCGATTTGATGCAGCAACCTAATCAAAATCCCTCACGAGCTCGGTCTTCTGGGTTGTAACGCCGTGTAGTTAGGTGATACCGCGACGTTTCTGAAGAACATATCAGCTTCATCTTCAGAGGGTCTCAGAGCATGCCAAAGAGGAAGCCAGCAAAGCCTGCGGCATTACAACCCAGAAGAAAGTACTCTGCACCGCTCTGCACAGCCATCGCTGCGAGACCCTCAGATCGCTCAGATCCAACTTAGCAGGAAACCCTTTCTAAGCCATGCCCATTACGCACATTCTAGCACCTCTAAATACGAGTGCAGGGAACATGCGCGTAGCGCAGTGGGACTATATATTTTGCGACGCGTTATATTCGCGAATTCATACACTTGTACGTAATGTGCAGACGATTTATTTTACACAACGGCTCTAAATATCCGATGACATTCAAATTGAATATAGTCATTAAATGAAATAGGTAGTCTATCGCTGTAGTACATAAATGATGTCAGTTAGTGCAATAATAATGTTCAGTATTAAAAATGGCGCTACCTGCCAACATGGGGTCGATTGTGTTAAGAAGTTTATCTGTGCTTCTCGGAATATTTTTTATATTTGTTGGGGTAATGAAAATTACCTCACAAGTCAGTAAAGACCTTCATAAAGACCTGGTACGTATTTCTGTGTAGGTAATGAACTGTATAATGGTGTGTATTGCTATTAAATTACAATGAATGTGGATACATTGTATTCCCCTGTTACTTCTGTAACCAGTCAAGCAGATTCGTAACGCAATTAATCGCCTATGCAGGGGTTATAGCATTGTCTTAACAATGCCTTCCAGATATTTAATATAAATGTGTAGCCTCATTAATTTTATAAATATGTTGTTGATGTAGAGATACTTAATTTAACTTTGGCAAAATGCCCTTGGCCCTTTGCCTTGGCCAGCACTCAGTAAATCTGTTAGCAATGCTAAATGTAAAACATGGGCCAATGTGTATATGAAGTTATTTTTAAATATTTGTTAATATTTTACTAAACGACGGTTACGGTCTCATGTCAGATGAATGTACACTTAACACCATAAATGTACCACAGACAAATATGTGTATGCTGCTAATTTTGATATTTTCAATTTGGTTTTACAATTTGCTACTGAAACCAATTTGTATATGTGCATAGGAAAGCTACTTTTTAGAGTGAGGCAAATGCGATGTATGTTAGTCATACTAATTTCTCAAAGATGAGAAAACAGACAATCCAGACAAATCTACCCATGTAACAGGCCTCAGAGGCCCATAGGGTTGTGAGACGTTGGGGGGGTCCCACATTTTCTAGACCATTGGCTCATAGATAGCGGTAAGGTTGTCAGCCTTGCGCGCTGGCCACACTTTACCCCCCAGGAAAATTCCTGGTACTCATTTCTGTTAGAGGCTGAGTCAGCCTGAGGGCCATAGTGCAATTGAAGGATTAGGTCAATTGAAAAAAATCCAGTGACCTCATTGGGACTTGAACCCGCGACCTTCTGGCTTGTAGCATATACACACACCACACACAGGCTGTGATTTGTCTAATTTTTGTTTGCTTCTGTTTCAGAGAAAAGAATATGTCAAATATGCAAAAGTATTTCCACTGTCAGAAGCACTGGATTTTAAGGTTCCATCCAAGTGGTATCGACGAACAGTAGGCACTCTAGAAATAATTTGTGGATTGGCAATGGCATTCATTCCAAGTAGTATGTACTTGTTTATAACACTTCATGTTCCTTAAACGTGTACTTTCCTAAGTTAAATTAGTGATGTCCTGTTAGACAAATCAGTTCTTCATAGAATATTTTCAGTACAGTTTTTAGAACATTATACACTCAGTAGAAAATGTTCTAACACTAGATTAATTACCCATGCACTCAGTAAAGGAGTGTTTAAAAAATAATACAAGTTAATATAATTAGTCCTGGAGGTAGTGGAAATACAGCATTTTAGTTTAAGCAAGCAGTTCTGGGAAGAACTAATAGCCTACTTTTCATTCATCACATATTGAGTATTTGGTATGACACAGACCATATAGAAAACACTGTATCCAATAGTTCTTCTCTTGTTTTGTGTGTATTTGTTTGCTCTGAGGATGTGTTTACCAATTTGTTGCCTAGCAACACATGTGGGGGGGGGGGACAGACACACAAACAGCAAGGTGATATCATCAGAGCTGAAAGTATACACAGAACACAGGACTGTTTACAGTCCTGTCACAACATTCAAAACAAGAAGTTCTGGGAAGAACTGATCAAAGTCCAAGACACACTGCGACTGACGGTCAGTCAGTCAGTAAGTCTTGGTGTCAAGCCCCATGTGGGGCTCATAACCAGATATTAATTATTACCGTTTGACAGTTACGGTCTTATTTTTGTGGGGTGCCCTCTCTGACGAGAGGACGGGTCTGTCTTTTGCATATGCTGCTGGCCCTTGCCAGCGTGGTCTTTCTCGGGTTTGAGTCCCTTGGGACTCGCTACCATATTTTACTGTCTCAGATTTGAGACTTCCCATTTCGTCGCCTCTTACGACTCGCAGGGTAACGGTGGAGGTATTCGACCCTGCCTCCACACAGGGGTGTCAACTCAAGAACTGATCATCTACTTTCTTTTCACTATGTAAGGAGAATCTGATATGACACAGACCACACAGAAAACACTGCATCCAGAAGTTCTGCTATTGTTCCATGTGTATTTGTTGCCATGGGAACATACTGCCTAGCAACATTTGGGGAGAGGACACACAGATACACAGATACACAAACAGCAAGGTGATCTCATAAGCCTCCCCTTATATTTAGCCTACGTACCTTATTTTGAAAAAAATATAAGTAGGCTTATGAGATAACCTTGCTGTCTGTCTATGTATCCCTCCCTATCAACTTCTGAATACCTGAACCAATATTTATGAAACCTGGTATGTATATCTAAGCACCTGCAATGGCATACTTCATAAATCCCTCCTATCAGTCTGCCTGTCTGTAGATGCATTCCCCAACTGTTGCTATGGTCTGTAAAAACATTACTGCCGCAACGAATATGCACAGCAACGATAGAAGAATTATGACCATCCTCAAATTCAAGTCATACAGTTAATATTACATTATTAAAATCTTAGAAATATCACCCACTCATTCAGTGATGGTACTGTTAGTAATGGCTGTATATCAGTAAAATATGAACATAAATTTTAATAATAATAATAATCATCACAGCAAGAATATATGCAATGATTATAATCATTTCTGCTACTCATTAAATAAAACCAGATTCAATAAATAATTATTTATTGAATCTGGTTTTATTTAATGAGTAGCAGAAATTTTAATTACTGTATTTCTTTGTAGATGCAGTAAAGCAAGGGGCCAATATTGTGTTACTGATAATGATGATGATGGCTGTTTATTCACATTATATGGTAAATGATAAATTTGAAAGGATTGCACCGGCATTGGTAAGATGACATTTTTAATCTGAGAGTCCATAATTTATATGAAGATATTTCTATTGCTTTTCTTGAATAATTCTGTTATTATGACTGACTTTCAAATTTCATTTCCAGATCATGTTCCTCTATGTCATTTCTTTTCTGTTTTCCACACCAACTTTCACATCACTTGAACAATTATTCTTTGACAGTCACAGTCATGATTTTGCAATTTGAAAATTCTGTGGTAATTTTATGATTCATACACTCTAAAGAAAGCAGTCCTCTGGGATTTGGCACCGTGTATATGTGGTGTTAACTGATGTTCCTCTGAAACGTTGGTTAACACCACATATACATGGTGCCAAATCCCAGAAGACTGCTTTCTTCATAGTCACCGCCATGAAAACCTCAAATCCTTCATACACTATAGTTTGTACTCAATACTAAATGGTATGAAAGTAGTCAAATCATGCAGATTGAGATGGGCAGGGTATATAGAATGTATGGAAGATATTAGAAGTAGATACAAAATTTTGGCTGGAAAATCTGAAGAGAAGATATTGTGTGGAGGCCCTAGGCAGAGATGGAGGATAATATTAAAACATACCCTAAAGAAAGGAGGTGAGAGGATGTGAGCTGAATTCTATAACTCAGGATGGTGACCAGGGGTGGGCTGTTGTTAGCAATGAATGTTTGGATTCCCTAAAAAGGCAGGAATTTATTGACTGGCTGAATGACTATTAAATTCTCAAGAAGAGCTCTGGTGCATAGGGTTTCTTAAGTTTTAATAATCTGTATTCTTCCCTTCTGAGACGTTCCAGATGGTTTGATTCCATTCATTTTCACCTCCTTTAATAAAGGAATCTGGTTACAGGATCCAAGCGAGTTAAATGGGGATAATCTGAACAATATAAGACGTGAAACCAGCAGGCATTTCAGGAATAAAAAGAGGGAATATCTGAAAGACAAAATTGATGAGCTTGCAATGAACAGTAAGAACAAGAACACTAGAGACCTGTATAGAGGAACAAATGACTTTAAGAGGGGTTACCAGCCTAGCAGTAACATAGCGAAGGATGAGAATGGTGATCTGCTTGCAGATTCCCACAACATTTTGAATAGGTGGAGGAACTACTTCTCTCAGTTATTGAATGTACACAGGGTCAGTGCTGTTAGGCAGACAGAAATCCATACAGCTGAGCTGTTAGTACCTGATCCTAGCCATTTTGATGTTGAAAGTGCCATTGCAAAATTGAAACGGCATAAATCACCAGGTAGTGATCAAATTCTGGCAGAACTTATTCAAGAAGGAGGCGAAATATTACATTCTAAGATTCACAATCTAGTTACTTCTATTTGGCATAAGGAAAAATTGCCTGATCAGTGGAAGGAGTCTATTCTCGTATCAGTTAGAAGGGAAGTATTTATTGTAGGCTGATTAAAATCTGTTTAAACGAAACTTATAGTAAAGTCCATATAGATAAACATTTGTCTGATCAATTTCCTATCCAGAATGGTCTAAAACAAGGAGATGCTTTATTGCCACTCCTTTTCAACTTTGCCTTAGAATATGCCATTAGGAAGGTCCAGAAAAATCAGGCGGGACTGAAATTAAATGGGACATGTCAGCTGTTGGTCTATGCCGATGATGTGAATCTACTGGGTGATAATATAGATACCATAAAGGAAAACAAACAAACTTTAATAAATAAATGCTAATTTTTGTACCTCACTGGTATTTTTATTATTTCATTATTATTATCAAACTGTCATCAGGTGGACAGTGAATACATAATTGTAAAGTTTGTGGTTATCTTGCAATAAGTTAAATTATATTTATTTATTACATTAAATAATATCAATTAATTTATTGCTATATAGCTGTAAACTTTGCGTTTATGTATTGACTGTCCAACTGATGATGGTTTCATTGGAATTGAAAAATGTAGTGGGGTATTCAAGAAATCAATGAGGTATCAGCATTATTATCGTTTGTTTTTTGTGATGCATTTGTCTGAAAACTCTTTTCATTTACTTCTTTGCATACAAAATATAATGTAACTGAAAGTATGAAAATATGAGTATATCAGAAGAAAAACATTAACATATACCCTCCAGTTTTAGTATTCTGATGGAAGAATCCCAGAGAAAGTGATAATTTCCAGTAGTCTGGAGGTAAGAGTTGCAGACTCCAGTATAGACAGGACTTGCGTCATGTTGTGTACACATATAGTATGGCTTCAGACATGTATAATGTCTGATTATCCATCTTGTGGCATTTCTTTTATTGTAACAAGGTGTCAGTTGTGTGTGTGTGTGACAGAACTTTGATTTAATTCCTAACTAATTAAATAGTCCACTTCTTTTCCAGGTGTTTTTCTTCATGCTGACAGGAAGATTAGTTATTGACTGGCAACTAAGAAGAAGAGAAGTAAATGAAGTGGTTGCTGTTAACGGAGAGAAGAAGCAAAACTGAAAAGAGCAATAGAAATAAATCCCAAAAGCAAAACAAATGGATCAGTTCCGATACCACAGAAACATAAGAAGTACTTTGATTTTCTGAAGCATTTGTATCAGAAAACGTTTTTCCTTCTCATAAATGGGAAATGTCATGAAGATATATGAATGCTGAAGAAGATGAGTGTAAATTAATGTACATCAGGAAAGCAGCTATTCTGAAAATGTGAATTATAACATTGGCCCTGATGTTTATGATAAAAATTATAATTTTTGTAAAACAATATTATGACTGGATAGGTTTCAAGCTGGTTCAGCTCTGACTGTGAGTTCACGTGTTCACCTCAGTGAGTTTTAGAACAGCAATTGTTTTAGATTTGATTAAAGCTCGTACTGTCATGGTTGTCAAGATCAATTTTCATGCTGTGCTACACAAAATGTATTTGAAATGAAGACACATCCAGACTCACAAATCTTCACTTAATATATGTATCTTTTAAAACGTTCACTTATCACAGTTTCTTTCTAAAGGCATTGATGTTGTTTTTTCTATAAATTTTTTGGGGGTTTATTTTACAGTATCTCAGACTATAGGTTTCCAAATGATAGGATTAATGGTGAGTAATGAATTTAAAGGAATCTGGAAGGAAATGATCATGGCCTAATCAGGGAGTAGTCCTGGAATTTGCCTTGAGGGACTGAGGAGAGTCATGAGAAACTTCAGTTAGGACAGCTGGTGTCCTGGCTGAGATTCAAATTGCACCATCCTGCTCAGTTGTGAAGACTCATTCTGTTTCAGAGTTACAGGCAGTGGAGTCATAACTTACAATGTAAGTAATTATATTATGATTGTGACTTTCTGGGTTTGGCACTATCTTCTCTTCAAAATGTGAAAGCCTGTTATTCACACTTTGTAGAAACAAGGGAATTTTCTCTAAAGGACCAGACATGTATATCCATTTAACTCATCCTTCCTAAAAACAAGCCCTGAAAAGAGCATTTCCTGTTCTATACTTCTCATTGGCCCAGTCACAGCTCTATCTACTTTCCTCCACTCCCTGGCCCTGAGTGGCTAATCTTATTTCCTTCAGTCTGATCCCTCCACCTTTTCTGTCCCAGGTCTAGTAACTTCTATTCTGGAGATGGACACAGGATGTTCTTTGTAAATATTGGTAACCACCTACAAGACTACTTGGTCTGAAAACCCATAGGACCATAATCTAAATTTTTATCTCCATTTAAACCTCAAATCTTTTATAAAGATGTTCATCAGAATGTTCTGTTACCAGCTAGACATGAGTTGCAATATATCTCACATCAGATGTTATCTCACACATCCTAAAACATTTAGTAAATGTTTTTATGTTATAGGAATATGTGAGATGCATTTCTTGACACTAGTCTTATGTTCATATGTCCACTGTGAACTTTCATATCATAAAGTATGTACATAAGTATTTGCATTTCCTATATTTTCTCCTTGTAGAGTATAAACATTTAGGCCTTTGTTATAAAATTATAATTCAAATTAGGTAATTTGAAAGAATGTCATTATACATAAAATGAAAATATGGATTTAAGCAGTTAAGGATGCTGTAAGAGTCTGATAAGTGAACTCGTTGATGGTACCTTGTCTAACAAGTTGTACCTATAAACATTGTACATGATGATTGTTCTAGTCAAGATTCATAGTGAGAATACTACATAACACAGTGCTTTCTTTTTCTTGCTTTAGAAGTAGTTGTTACAGCCACAGTTGGACTTTCTCTATATTCTGTAGAGGAATAAGTTTAAAAATAAAAAATGAGAATGAGATGAACCCCCAGAGATATAAATACATAACTGTCAGATACTCATGACTGAACATGTGTTCTCCTCCACACATGCACACAAAGATATAAATGTGGCATATATTTTATTAACATTTGGATAAGGATCTTGTTCATTAGCACTGTTAAACTGTGTTAAAAACATCTCTGGGGGAGCATCATTATCTGATAGTCATGTAGGTTGTTCTGTAATCATAAGTAAGTTACCACATTTTATACTGAACAAACAGTGGGAACAAGATCTGCCACACGGGAAATCTTGTCTTAGTTATTTAGAATCCAGACAATGAACAAAGTCCAAAAACCCAGTATCTCTATACAGCACTTTCCTTCAGCAATTTGCCTGCTGAAGGTTTGACATACCTGAAAAGATGTATTCAACAGTTCATAATACTAAATTGCAGCTTCCTGTTGTGCTCCAGAGATCTCATTTTGTGTTCTGCTCTTTTGCCGTCTCTGTACAACGTCAGTTAATATTCTATTGTCATTTTCTCTTTATTGTCACTACATGTTTCGGCCTAACCAGACATCATCGGGGGTACAGGCCATTGCAATTTCAGTGAGCAGCAGGTTCCTTCATCACAACCTGTACACCTATATGGTGCAACACTTGTCAGTGATTTATTACAGAAGTCAAGCATATAAGTGTAGCAGACATTTTGCATCAGGGATCCTTTGAGAGTTTTTAACACACACACACATATTATTTGCAAAGCAAGATCACATCTGTGAAAAATTTTTCACCATACATTTGGGTTCTGGGTTAGAAGGTTTGTAAGGAGTGGGGTGCACAGAAAGCGTCTTACATGTTATTTCCCACATTCCACTATAACACCAAGCCCCACTCCTACCTAATATAAGGTCCATAACTTCTTCTCTTGTGTGTGTGTGCTTTTCTTGTTTCAGAATGTAACTTTTACTTAATTGGTAAGATGTATATTTGTTTTTTCCCATAGAGGATATACGATAAGGATTTACAAACATGAATCTAAATGTAACACATAAATGTTGTAACTGATACCAAAAATTATGCAAAACTGTAATGCATATCAGTGGTTCCCATGTGAACCCTGGGGTTTATGTTATGCTGCCCAGAAGCAGGTTCTTCTGAACACACTAATGAACCTGTGGGTGCCACAAAACATGGACATTTGACTAGTTGAGTGACCATTAACCCTCAAGAAGCTCTCTGCTCAATGGAGTTAGTTAGTAACCAGCTGACAGTAGTCAGCACTGGTCTGAGTATGCACCTGTGCATCATTCTACATGCGCAGTCGGGCCCTAATGCAGTCATCAGTCAATGGCCGTATGAAGCACAGTGAAGGTATCCCTTTGAAACATGAAGTGTGTGTCATGAAGCAAGCCTAGTTTTACCCTTCTCTTTAGTATACTGATCAGTTAGATGAACTGATTTATTTACAAGCCTATTTTCCTCTTTTGCATTCCTGACTTTTTAACTCTAAAATATGTCAGGACACTTTTTAACAGTGAGGAAAATGGTATTAGAACAGAAAGAATACAAATAAAATCTAAAAGTTTATGACAGTGGTATATTAATAAATTATGAACTTTTTTGACATCATCCATCCTGTTAATGTTCAGAGACTGGGATCAGCCTCTATTCTCAAATAAAAAGCCTTCTCAGTTGGGCCAAAACAATAGAGCTAGTCCCTATCTCCAGACACCAGAACCAATATAAGGCAGGATATATACAGAGTGTAAATAAATATACGTTAGAACGCTTTGTGGGAGATAGACAGGCTCAATCTGATCATGTTTTGTTAATACACCCATGTCCGGAAACGCTGTGCTTACCCGTTACGGCCTTTGAAATGTGAAGGACAATGCCCTTACCTCTTACCTCTTTGGCTTACTGGTGATATTTGCCTAACATTTCTCCAAGATACTTTACCTGAGCTGCTGGAAATGGTGCCTTTGGAAGTCTGTCGTGAAATGTGGTTCCAGCATGATGTCGCCCCGACACACTGCACTAATGTCGTCCGCGAGTATTTGGATGAAACTTTGGCAAAAGATGGATTGGATGTGGAGGCCTAATAACCTGACCCCCTTGCTCTCCTGACTTGACTCCACTGGGGATGCAACATGATCTTGTGGCAAGAATTGCAGCAGTTGGAACCATCCAGGAAATGTCAGGAATCTTTCAAAGAGTCCAGCATAACATGGCCAGGCAGTGCAGAACATGCAATGAAGTTGGCAGCTGCCATTTTGAGCAATATTTATAATGTAAATCAGCAGTAACATCCCCTAAAACTTACGCATCCTCTTGGAAACTTTTGTGACCCTTAGTGTCAAATGAAGGGTTTCCAGACATGGGTGTATTAACAAAATATGGTCAGATTGAGCCCATCTATCTACCCCAGAGCGTTGTTAACATATATTTATTTACACTCTGTATGCTGAACAACATAAACCATCTGAGAGAGTTGAAACAAAAATTTGCTCTTAGGTCATCTTTGATATTTAGGAAATTTCGTCTGCTTGAATTTTAGTCATCTGAATCTGTTGGACCTATATGTGTGTATATATATATATCTTTGTCTTATCTGTGATTTTGAAGGTCAAGAGACTGTACCCTATCATTGATTTTATAGTTTCTATAGTTGTATTTTTTAGAATTTGACGCTGTAGCTTTAGCTTCTGTTTTAGTCAGGCTGATTTTATTGACTCTGGACATTAAATTATGCATGGAAATAATTGCAAGGTCTCAAAAATGAGGCATTTTCAGATTTCTGTGTTAGCTCTTGCTGATGGTTTGTTGTGTTTTAAATAAAAACAGGATGATGGATAATGTCCAAAGATTCAATAATTGTAGAATACATTTCTAAAAACAAACAAGAAATTTCATTTTTACAATATATGAAAGCTGATCAGAAAGTGACTTTCGTAAATTTATTTGTCTCAGATTATACATAAAGCAGTACATTACAAATTCGTGATTGTAACCCTTACTAAAGGCATTTTTCTACATAATCATCCTGTACCTTGAGACATCCCAACAGTACAACAGTTTATTGATGCCACCTTTGAAGAACTGTGCCTTTTTCCTGGAGTTATGCCCTTGTTGCTTCCATGACCTCAAAATCTGGATTGGATCAAAGGCCTGCAACATGTTTTATCAATGGCCCAAATTGGGACGGCATGGTGCACAATGCAGAACATCCCAACCAAACTTTTGCAGGCAGTTCACTGTCTGTGAAAATTATCTTTCAGATCTGCCCTACTACTAACCAACAGACACTTCATGCTGGACAGATGTGTATCATTTGCATTTTCTTTATTTCCCTCAAATTTTACATGTTCTGTTTCATTCACATGGGTATTAAGTTATATGGAACTGTTATGTTGCATTAACTGAACTGTGTCAAATATATACTTTTATCCCTACATATTTGCACTCACACTCCCAATAACACATTAAGAATTTTCTTTGATAAGTTTCCCATCTTGCATCTTTGCGAGCTTCATGCAGCATCTCGGCATGTACTCCACAGACCACATCAAGGTGCACCTCAGTTTGTCTCATTGTTGTTCCCACAGCATCACACAAAATTTAGTATCTTTCTTGTATTTCCATGCATCTATGCCTCCCAAAAGAAACATAAGTGATGTTTGCAATGAAACTGCAAGTTGTTGCAGCACTATGTAGTGTGTATGTACATAATTCATTAAAAGGTTACATACATATATATATTATTAGTCTCATTCTCAGTCATCTCAGGAACATATCTGTTATGAACAGAAGGATTTGCCTATAGATTAAATATTTTATTTTACTTTGTAGATATTCAGTAACAATCTTCTTCATTAATTTTGAATGCTGATGCCTGTATCACTGCCATTAATTTTACTATCACGTGTAATAGTAGAAATTATAATGTAACACTGTCAATGAATAAACCTGCAACAACAAGCATGTCATCTGATTGGTAATATTGCTTTGAGCGCTAATCTGAATGTATTTAGCTAATTCTTACAGTAAATACAATTAATTTTAACAGCTGAAATAAATAGAAAGTGTAGGCCACTCAAAAAATGATAAAAATATTAATAATTATCTATTCTTAATTTAGCAAGCAACCAATCTACTTAACAGCCCAATTTCATTTCAACTAGATGAGCTTTAAAATTTTCAGTACATATTTTTCATTTACAGCAGAAGAATTTGATATCAAATCTATTTTTTTCTTTCATTTAGTATGTGTAAGAAATGCAATTATCAGATTCTATACTTATAAGATTATATTGCTTATTTACAGCAGTACATACAGTACTACATCCAGTTACATCCTATATGAAAACAAATTTATCATTCAGTCTATACTGGCTTCTAAGATAAAGCTTAAAATTGAGGACTTATGAATAGAATGATTCATTACAAGTATTTCCTATGTTTATGAAAGAAAACTGACAAAAAGATCAAATAACAATTTGAGGGTGACTGTAATCTCATAAACATTTTCTTGTAAAGAATCTTACATTGCCTGTAATTTATAAGCTTCACCGAGTATTTTCAGTGCTTCTGGAGGGTTTAATTTCCATGATCAAAGTATTCACTATGCAGAATTACTTCAAAATTCAATAGAATCCATTTTAATTAGTTTCAGCTAACTGTTTGCCTGTGGCTAGTTCTGCATCCTCTTGGAATAAATCTTTATTTAAAATGGAAATTCAGTTTGACAGAGCACTGAATTTGTTGTTATACTAATTTCAAATAATTATATTGTATATGTAAGTACAATTATTTTATTGGGTAAGGTAAAGGTGAAGTCATTCTTGTGTCCAATTACTTTGGTACTTTGCCATGAACACATATGGGGGAAATTTATCATTAAACTATTAATGTGGATCCAATATGAAGAAAAAAGCCTATAATAGAACAGAAATGTTTCAAAAAGTACTTACTTGAATATACTTGTATAGGAATGAAGTTCAAAGTTATATAAAAACCTATTACTAGTAGTTGAGAACATTGCCATAGGAGTGTGCTACAGAATTGTAGAAAATATGTAGCTCTTTGCAATGATGTAATGTGACAAAATCCAGTGAAAGAACTGATGGAATTTCAGTGCTTCAGAAGGTAATCTGTTAGTTATTAGAGAAAGGTGTGATAAGAAAACAGGGTTATGATATGATGATGGTATGAAGCAAATAAGATGTG